TACAGTATTCTGTGGACATCATTTTTCATGTAAAGAATTTTTTTTAGATTGGTGGTAATGATAAATGAGAGTGCATGTGCAGTTAGGACTGCCATGTTAAAACAAGGAAATAGATGAATTTTCGGAGGTGTAGATTTTCAGACTGTGCTATTGATCTTCGATCGCCTGGTTTCCTCTACTGCTGAGCAATCACAGGCTATCTGACTCTTTTACTCTAGTTGTTTATCATAAAATTATGTAATTGCAATTATGTAGAATCAAGTTTGTTCAAATGAAGGTCCCTCTTCCAATGGGAGATAATTAAGAATAAGTGAAAAATTTATGACATTTCATCGACATCGGCGGAATGTAAGAGCCATTAAAGTAGATCATAGTTATACAAAGGAATATAGAGGCTTTGTCAATAAATATTTTCATCTTATAAACAGTAAAGCCATTATGTATCATGTTAATTTAAAGGATCTGGAGGGAGTCTAGCTTTAAATTTGTTCAAATACCCCCTCCCCTGAACCCACTTTTACTAGTATATTTACACTTTTCAGTACTGAACTGATTTTTGCTTTTACCTAACCATTGTTCAGGTGAGCGATGTGGCACCTGGGACTCTTGTTTAAATTTGTTTTAACAATTGTATACCGATATGTTTTTCAGATATTCACATCAGATCTGAACGATGCGCACCTCCCAACAATGCTTACTTCTATGCAAGGTTAACACACAATCTCAAAAACCACCATGGACGCGTTCCATTTAATCGAGTTATTGTCAACAAATTACGTCGTTACAATCCTTCCAGCGGTGTCTTTGTATGTCCTAGCTCAGGGTACTACGTATTCACCTGGACATTGATGACCGACCACAAAGAGTGGGTTATTTCTGACTTGATCGTTGGCGGTTCTGCAAAGGGGAAATTAATCGTTGACAGTGATGAGGGATTAGAAAGTGGATCAACGACTGTCCTTGTCTATGTCCGCCGAGGACAGCATGTATTCGTTCGAATAACTGGTGGTAATCGAAACATCGAATCTCGAGGAAGTGTACCGAGTTTTTCGGGTTGGAGACTGCCTTAGACGTGGAGATTGAAACACGCAACAATAAATGCACCTTACTGATAACAGTGATTTTTCTTACTTTCTTTGTGTCTAAAGATTTCAATTTCTTTTATTCATTAGGCTAAATTTTATTTGTAAAGTTTACATTTTATTCTATTTTCTGTTTCCTTTTAAATAAATTTTGAAAGTCAATATGATAACTGTTTATTTTAAGATTACAAACGATCGTATATAGCACTCATCAGGATACTGATATTTATACACAATACATTGCATTTGACTTTTTCTTCCAAACTGAGAGAAGGAGGCAAACAAAGAATAGAAAGAAGTTGTAAGAAATACTGAATGGTTGTTCTGATATATTTAAATGTTTTCGATTATCTAATTATTTAAAATATCTTTTTACATCTCTGACAACGTTGATATTATTTTGATTTCTAAGAAAGTGGCTCCCATCAGCCACGTACCTCAAATCATTTAACTCGACACTAATCTAAGACTAGTGTCTTGGCGGTGTGATATATACGAGGTTTTTATGATATTTATAGTTTATTAATTAGATGCAGATCTGCAATCATCAGTAGCCTGTTTGTATCTGTTATACAGAATATCAAATAAGTTAGAAGAGCCTATCACTCAGATTCTTATTGCGTTTAATGACACAATAGGTTATTCTTGTAGGACTGTATTGCAGTCCTTTTATTTCTTAGAATATGCTGGTATTTCAATATTTTTTTTAACCTCAAAATCATTGGAAATTTTTTGTTAGCGAATATCGCATACAGAATAGGGCATACAGCATGTACAGAATGACATAATTTAAAGACTTCACAATTAAACTAAATCTTGATGAAATTGATATACACATGTATCTTCTTTTCAATATTTAAATAATGTACTTGAAGTACTAAAAGGTTTTTATTCCTCAATCATCAAAGATTTGGGAAGTTAATTGTTTTTGACTGTCTCATCCGCTGCCTGTCTAACTCTGTGTCTGATTGAAAAAATTATCCTTGACTTTAATTGGTTAGAGATTGGTTTTCAAATTTCATATATTTCATATGAGTATTTCTTACAAGATCTTTCATTGGGTACCAATGTATTGACCTATTGAACTTACATGTTTGCTTGACTAAGGTTTGCAAAAAATTACCAAATTCTAACTTTAGCCCTAACTACTGAAGTACTGCACCATGTCCTTCTTCTGGGTACAAATCCTAGAATCAGTGAGCATTCCGTGTGTGCATTAGATATGTATATTCATTGAGACAGGTCCCTACTCTGTAATACATCATTTTTTCCTTCTAATTTTCTCCTTAGAATTAAAGCTGCATTTGAAAAAAAACCTTTAACATTTGTCAAATACCCCCATGCACCGGAATCAGTGTTTCCCAAACACATTTTGTTTCAGCTAGGTTTTAATGAAATGGAATCTCGATTTTTTTATACCCATAGTGCATTGGCCTTTTTTGTTCAAAAATGTACTTAGTAGGCATCAAGCAAGGCCATTGTTTAAGCAAATGAAATGAAGAGCGAAATGATTATTAAAGTTAAACCGTATTGCTTACATTCAGGATGACAGGACCTCAATTTCACCATAGGTAAATTTATTACAACTCTTTATAGATATATCTTTGGTTTCCGGTTCCCAATATTTAAAAATAATCTTTGAGCTTCAGAATATTACGTTACACTCCTATTTTCTGTTTAGTTGGTGAAAACTCAACGCAAAGTTAACGTTCATGTGTTTATTTCAAAGATCTTATTAAAACATTTTTATAAAGACAATTTTACCCGGACTCGACTCTGCTATCTGCTCAGTTACAGTCGTCAAATAGTAATGGAACTTTTGAGAAATATATCTGATATATATTCCATTGCAAAAATGGTTAAAGTGTAGGATTTGTGAATAATTTTTTAAAATATTGCTGTTTTGACATTGCTGATGGTTTTGTACGGGAAAAGACAAAAATATTTGTTAAACAAATCTGCGGATTCAGAAAGTTTCCTCTTTCATTCTTTACAAACTGTGTGTTTATAGAATTTCTTATTTGCACCTCATAGATTCTGACAATTTTTCAATTGTATTTGTTGATTTTATTTGATTCTGTTTGTTTAATATGTGTTTTTCGCTACATTAATTGGTAGTTTTGCATGAACGATCGTGTCTCAGTCCATTGTCAATGTGCGTGATTGAGAAATTTTAACAATTTACCAAAATAAAAAAAAACCCACAATTAACAACTGCTGATACCCTTCTGATTATATATATTAAAGTGGACTAAACATAATAGCGTTCCTCAAATAAAGTAATTTCCATACATTGTTTCCGAGCACTCGTGGTCAACAAGACTTCCTACCTAAGAGTCAAGACCTTGCAGTACAACATGCGGACTTTATCATCACATTATGAATCATTTGACATATAAAATCACTAAGAGTGAGACAGCAAATTCACTTGCAATTTTATGTGATAAATTTCAATAAAACCTGTCACACAAAGAATCCATAGCGGCTTTGAAAACATTTTTCATCTCAATCCTTAGTAATAGTATCTCTTTCACACTTATAAAAAATCAATTCAGTTAACACCTTTTTATAAAACAAAGTTAAAAATAAAATATATTTCATGCTAAAATACCAGAATCTGTTTTTAATTAAGTTGTTAGAAATATGTTTTGTTAGACACCTACTCAAATATGCTATTGAAATAAATTAGCATGTATTAAGTTTCAGTCTTGATTCAATTTAGTGACTCGACAACAATCAAACAGATAAAAATATTTCATATTCATTCACTGTATTCAATTTTAGTAGAGAAAAAGACATTGTTATGCTACCTCCTATAATCTATACATCTGATCCCATTTCTAGTGATCCCAAGTATCCATGTCTTTGTCCTGTGTACAGGTTTTTTTGTGAAGACTTATTAAATATTTTTTTAGAGTTAGCACTCTCCTTATCTTGTTTTACATGGTCATTTTTAAAAATCTTTTTATTCTCTGTCACGCATTTTGATACATTTGTTTAATTCCCTGCTCCTAGGTTGTACATAATCCCCTTTACAATCTATTATCATTACCTTTCAACAGAGTACGGCGTGTGTAACAGAGAGAGAGAGAGAGAGAGAGAGAGAGAGAGAGAGAGAGAGAGAGAGAGAAAATGTGTATGCATTTTGGTGGATGGGTACATGTAAGTATATGTTGGTTGTAACTATATTCCTTGTTCGAATGGAAAGTGACAGAATGTGTATCCTGATCGATATCGAATGTCTTGATTCGTAGATATACTTTTCAAAACTATTACTTGTTGATTACTTTAATTTATGATTACATTTGAAACATCAAATGCTTGGAATTATAATTTATTGGGGATAATCGGCGAATAAGGTTCAGCCTTTTATTTATTTTTTTTATTCCCTTATGGCATGTATAAAATTCTGTCCAATTACCATGCAATGAAAGAATCTACAGCTAATACTATCCACCCGGAGTACTCGATCTCTGTGTGGTTATGTTAGATGGTTTGTTTTTCAGCCCTTTGATTGAATAATTGCTTATTAATAACAAACATAAATTATAAATAAAAGTATTTTATATATATAAAAAATAAATACTAAGTAGTTTTAATTACGTTTTAATACGTTCTTCATTTCTAATTAAGATATTTATCATTTTTTGATTTTATAAGATATGTTAACATGAATTAATCTCTAACATGGGTGTGCGCCAGATATCTATAAGAAAAAAGGTCAACAAAACTTTTAAGAAATAAATAACAATTTAAAAATTTTCAATAGGAGTTGAAGTGAATTGGTCACATGATCAAATCCTGTGAAGGCCGAAGGTCTTCTCAGAAGATCTGATCAAGTACCTACCCATTTCAATCCCATTGAAATTTGGAAACTTGTTATTTATTACTTATATACACATTTGGGATGTACAATTGAATATTTTCGGATGTAAATTATTGCACTAACCGTTGTTGTTAATTTTGAAAAATGATGCAAGATGTAAATCGGCTTGAAAATCGGTTACGCTTAGAATTGACCAGACTAAGGACTCTATTTCGATAGTAATATTTTTGAAAGGCTACTTGTGATTAGTGAAAGTGAACAGATTGTTGTCTGGGAATGTTTTTATTCGTAAACATTGATAATCAATTTTGAAAAGATACATGAAACACAAGATGTACCGGTGGATATTATTGCGCCGTGTAATTAGGTAACGTTTTGATCTATGACCTGTGAATAACTTCATACAGAATTGAAGATATTTGCTTTTTGCATGATGCCACAAATGCATATTTATTAAGTTAAATGACATGAATGAAATATGAATTACAGTGTATAAAATTTATTATAAACTTTGAAAAGGAGGCACATTTTTGTGAAATGGCGTATAAAGCACTGAAAAAATGCGCTGCTTTACAGAAATAAGGGTAAAATGTGAACATTTTGATAATTGTAAATTTACAAATGCATTGATTAAGAACTTGGTATTTGCAATTGAATCAATTAATACAAAAAAAAATCCAAAATCAAATGCCAATTATTTAATCTATGTTAAATTTAATGTTCCTAGAAAGTTTCTTTCAATAAAAAAGGATCTCAAAAGACAAATTGTAAATCTTTAAGTCTGGATGCCTTATAATCTACCCAAACAACAATTACACGTAGTTCATTTAAATAAGTATTTCACATGTAAATCTTTAAGTCTGCATGCCTTATAATCTACACAAACACCAATTACACATAGTTCATTAAAATAAGTATTTCACATGCAAATCTATTTAAAATAGGCAATTTTAGTTTATAATTGTTCCTATATATAAATATATAAAACTAAATAATTCTTGTAAATTTTCAAAGCTTTCATATAAACACGGTACCCCTTTCAGTGAACAGGTACTACTGTAACAGTGAATTTTCTTTTCCTTTCCTGGTTTTCAATATGATGCATTTGTCGTCTCTTGAAAACAGCAAATTGTTTTTATTAACGTTTATTAAGGGTCCTTCACACACACAAATTTTGTTCTCATATTATTGAGCATTATTTATAACACGCATGTCAACCTTTAAAAACTGGCTTGGAATTAAAACAAAATTTATACGGATTCTTTAACATAATAATTTCACAAATTTCAAGATATTTTTCCCAAGGCGTTTTCATAATCAGCACAAATTTTGCTTTACCTTTTCGTATATTTTAGAGCACTGATGTAGAAAAAAATATTTTCAAAATCTCTGGTATCAAAGTTTCTTTTTGCAGTTATCGTTCCTGTTGCTCGGGACTCAAGAACTTTGGCAAGTCTCCGCATACGTCACCATATTATACTTACTCATCATTGGCAACACTGACAGATATAAAAGGGGAAAATTAGAAATGAACACTACTCTATCAATATTCATAAACACACAATAAGATAATGGATAATTGAAACGCACGAATAAGTTTATGAAAAATAATATAAACTCTCAACACAGACTTTTTTGATATCCCTGAAAGTAGAAATAACCTAAAAGTTTCTCATCATGCGGGCACCCGTTGTTTACGAATTATTATCTAACATAATTTCAGACGTTTGTTGTTCTTTTATTGAAAAAAAAGAATATCTTTTTCTATCCGTCACTCCGTGACCATGTCATGTGTTCATTGTTTATTGTTAGGGTTTCACTCTCAGTGTACTGCATACTTTTCCCTTAGCAAAACCTTTATCTCTAAAGCTTTTGTAAGACTCTCTTACAAGCGGTGCCAGGCAAATCGTCATGTCACAAACTATATAAAACCGGAAGTAAAAGTTTTTTTCTCTATATACGTCACAAGTCGCATGGTGTGGAGGACCCTTAAATATGGAGACAACAAACAGTTATCAGGCTAAAAAGTCAATTGACACAAGGGAAATTGGGAGCAGAGCGAATACGGATCTTTTAAACAATAGACAAGGGAGCGGTCAGCATTCCTTGATGACGTCACCTTGCTATGTGTTACTTGTTCTGATTCCTTAGACGTCAGTGTCAATTAATAATAGAATTTTTAAGCAGACAAGTGAAAGATAAAATTTAAAAATATTAAGAATATTTTTAAAGGAAACGAATAAATTTGCTTTATGTATTTAGAACACAGTCATTGGATGAATGCTTTATAAGCTACGAACCTCATGTAAATAGTAGTTATAAAACAAACATTTTCTGTTATTTAAATATATTTGCATTTAACATTAAATATGAATTTCGATTCTACATGTTTGAATAAAAACATCATAAGATTTCAACCCAAAGGCATGCTACCATATAAAAGAACTAAGAACATCATAAAAATCACCAGAGGAAAAGTATAGTAAAGTTAATAATATTATGAAATTTTCTTGTAAAATGTTATTTAAAAAAATGCCACAATCATATTTCTTTCCAAAAATGTACAATATCATCTTCTCTGATTTGGTGAATATTTTGTGTTAAGTGTGATGGGCATGACATTGTAACTTTTCCTAGAATATCCTGCTCGAGAACAAAGCAATCCGGCAGATGACTGTATACCTCTTGATAAGAGCACTGATAACCAATTGTGAATCGACAGGGTCTCTGAAATGTTTCTGTGATTTCTTTCAATCTGTTTTCTATCAAATTCCTAATTTCAATAACAGTGCACCGTTGCATCTCATTTTTTCTGTGAAGAACCTGAAGCTGTATAGAGGTCTTTGTGACTGCCACCACTACTATGTGATCCTTATGAAGAAAACAAGCTAAGTTCTTATACAGGTATTCCCCTGAGCCATCAAGTAAATTGAAAGGCATTTGATCTGACATCATTGCAACAATCAATCGGAAATAATAGAAATATGGAAAAAACTGGAATTGGTACACTATCACGGTTGTTCTATTCTGCACTGTTTTGAAAAGATGTTTTCCCTTTGAGTCAAAGCTGCGTTTATTCATAGAAGGGACGTAATGTACTCGGGACCTAAGACAATAATAGCTTTTTCCTCGTGCCAGTAAACCAAGCCGTTCCGCGTACAGTAGTATATCCTCTTTATTCACATATACTGAAAATCTTTGTTCCCAAATTTCATTTAGAAGACTATCTTTTAGGTAGCCCGTTTGATTAAAATACATCCAGTCGTGGTTGTCTTTCAACTTTACCCAATAAAAGTGATTCTGGTCTGTGATTACATATTTAAAGGCGTCAACAAACCACTTGACATCGACGATAACAATATCTCGAAGTAATCTTTCGTTAAAGTAACCAATGACTCCGATATCGTTGTAAAATTTCATAAGGTCTTCGGACTCAGCAAATACCTTCTGATGATATAATCCACCCCTTTTAACAATTTTCACTCGCTGATTCAACAGACAACAAATACTGTCTCCATACCAAACCCACTCGGTTGGAATATTCACTATCCATTTTTCGCTTAAAGCCATAGAACAGATGCATTTTTCTAATTTTGCCAAAGGATCTAATTGTGGACAAAAATTAAACGGATATCCAGTAAAGAAACATCTTTCGTTTGATAAATGACGCCCCAAGTTTGAACCAGATGGTAAAAGATCAAGGATTCTTTGAAAGAAAGACGATTTCTGTAAAATAAAAAAAATAAGTCAAATACAATAATTACATGTTTCCAATTTCGAAAATGAAATGTAAAGGGAAATATACCAAGTAATATGATAAATCATTGTAGTAATGTGAAACTATGAGACAGATTTGGCATACATGCATTCTAATTAATGCACTTTTACACGGAGACTCAGAGTCTCCAATACCTCACTATTGCTATTTCAGCGCATACAATTTGTGATCGCGATCTAGCCGGGAGATTCTAAAAAAATAAACATGGATTAATTTTGACGACTCATCGATGGAAGTTTAATTATTGTTTGTTATCCAGTTATCTTTAACCAAGTGAAATATCACGTTTGTTTGAATATGGGTAACCTTCTGTTTCAAGCTGAGTTTATTGAGATATCGTGAAAATTTGGAGGCATCATCAAAAATCCTCTACTAATCGATCAAGAACCAGGAAGAGGCAGGAAAACATTAAACATATGTGAAAGTTTCATTACATACCCTAGATACAAGTCTGGTTATGTCATAAACTTAAAGTACGGCAGGCCTAGGGCCACATAAAGGAGTCGATGTTCAACCAACATAGGAATAGGGAAAATGTCTTTGAAATCTTCTCGAGAACAACAAAGTCATAATCAATAATATTGAAAAAGTATTCACGGATACTGTGGATTTATAGTTGTTTCAAATGGACTTTTACGAGGAGTGCTAATTTTTACAGTTGACGTTTTTTTTTTTACACTAGGGCTATATACGGTAGCTCTTTCGTGATATTAATATTTAGCATTTCAACATTGAATTAAACGAAAATAACGTGTTATTTCAATGCACATATAAGTTGTCCTTGATTGATTGATTGTATACTGTTTAACGTCCCTCTCCAGAATATTTCACTGATATGGAGACGTCATCATTGCCGGTGAAGGGCTGCAAATGTGGGCCTATGCTCGGCACTCAGGGCCATTGAGCAGGGAGGGATCTTTATCGTGCCACACCTGCTGTGACACGAGGCCTCGGTTTATACGGTCTCTTCCGAAGGACCGCCCCATTTAGTCGCCTTTTACGACATGCAAGGGTGTACTGAGGACCTATTCTAACCCGTTGTCTAAATTAAAGTTGTCCTTGAAGAAAACGACGACCACCCTACACTCAACTCCCGGTTTTCACATGTTAGTACACCTAACACCATACCTATGACCCCTAGAAAGGTTTTCTTAGGCATTATCAAATCTGTACTTCCGTACATCATACAAATTAAATGTGCAGTAAACTGTCAACTGTAGAAGTCAGTGCTTCTCGTTAAAGACCATTATGACCTCTGGGAATAGGACAGGGTCACAACTGCGGCCCCAATATTTACTAATAATAAACACTTTTAAAATATTTTTCTCAAGAAGATCTTATTCATTATTATCCATATTATTAAAGAAAGATCCTCAGGTGGTGTAGATTCAAGTCCTTCAAATTATCGCCCCTGGAAAAATTTATAAAGGAATATATAGAAAATATTTTCCTCTTAAAAAAATCTCAGCCATTTTAATCATGTTTATATAAAAGCAAGCTAAGATCTAGTAGAATCCAGTTTTTTTGTTGTAAATAATGGATCTCCCTTTCCCGGGATTGGGAGCACAATAGAGGGTCAGATTTAATATTAAGAATCATCTTAAGAAAAATTCTGCTCAAAAACAGTAATGAAAAAAAAGAGAAGCAAACATTAGAGTTAACCCTTTATAGAAAATGTTTTTATGTATAATGTAATAAAATGTCACATTTTAGTACGGCAGTCAGTCAATGTAATCTATCGTTTTTAACACTAAAAATTGACCTGCATAAAATAAGAGGAATCAAATTTTACTGGTGTTTAAAACAAGCAGATACTATAGAAATCAAACTGGGTACACATTAAAAAGTTAAGTAAAACTTATGATTCAACATTTTAAGTTTTGTAATATAGTTTGTTTCATCAGAATAGAATTTATTTGCAAGAATGGGATACCGGTTTTTTAAGGGGTTTCTAGATATCCTCTAGATATCGATAGTTACAAATTACCTTAAAGATTGTCAGGCAAAATAAAACTAGAGGTACTGTGAGCACTGAGTTCAATGAATGATACCCATATGATTATACTTGCAAAATTCATGCTTTGCTCTAGGAGACCAAAATAAGTATCAGATCAAAAAGTAAGATGGAAGGTACACAATGACATTATGTAATAAAGAACCCCTGAAAGTATCAACAAATTATTTCAGTGGTATAGGAAGTATTGTGGATAAGAGAAGGGTACACTTCAATATTATAGAAAGACTAGAAGTGTCCATATTTTCTCTCGGCAAAATCGAAATATTTATCTGATCGAAAAGTAAACTAGGAGATGTACAAGGACACTATGTAATAAAGATTCTCTAAGTCTTATAAAAAATTCATTCTTTAGCATAGGTGTATTTTTGCTGATAAGAAATGGTACCTCACAGCGTAATATACGGGCATACAGACAGACGGGCGAACGCACAGAAAACTTACTGCACATCTACATACATGTCACACCAACAACAATCTCCCAAAAGATCATAAGGCTACTGTGTACAATGTAAGATGAGTTTCGGGAACCAGGGTCTTTTTGTGTTTAAAAAAAAGTCATTTCGACTCCCATTTGACCCCCAGGGTGAAAACGAAAATTCAACAACCTTTTACACAAAGGCCAGCGGACAAGGTAACAAAAATATACCCGAACTTTCTTTAAAAAGTGCCCTTATGAAAAAGAACAGAAAGTAAGGCAAATGAATAACTTTCAATACAAATGTGCCATTTATTTCTCAACTTTCATTTTTTTCTTTCATTCATTCAACTTGTCATAATTCTTTAAAATACTAAATTAATAAATTTTGTTTTACATAATAACTCGTTCACATATTATATACAGATCAAAAGAAATCTAAGAAAAAAGCATTGATAATTTTAGATTTTTAAAAATGATTTTGTGAACCAGAGCAAAAACAGACGTGCAGCATTTCCTATCAAAATGAAATACCTTGCACATACATGATTGAACAGTAACAAAAGAAAAAAAATGTAAAATTTTATAAGATATTGATTGTTATAAGTATTCTTGAATAAAAAAAAAACAAACTACCATTTTCTGTGGTTCTGGAACTACGTCAAGATGAGTTGCTACTATGATAACAGGCGTGTCGCTATCACAGTACGTGTGGATCCATTTCAGCCAGAAAAGAAAATAATCTGTATAATTCAGATAAAAAAAAATATAAGACTTAAACATAAAGTTTATGAGTCACTCTTTCCTTCTACAATTTAACACAGTTAAATGCTATATAATTCAGAAAGAAAACATTTTTAAAATTACCTCCATAAGTATAATTATCGAACATTGTGCCATCTTGGTTGCAAAGAAAAGGGTCTACTTTCTCTTCAAGCGGTTTGGAGATGTCCACTACTTGTAGAAAAAAAGCTCTCTGTTGGAGATATACTTGATGGCAAGCGTAATATGCACACTGTCCCCCAAAATCCAAAACATTTAACAGAAGTTTCTTTTCTTTGATAGAATCTTTGGAACAAACTAAATAAAATAATAAAAGTCAATTACGGAACAGGAAATTGACTATCAAAATAGAGATTATCAAAGAGTGTGCATAATATTTATTTTAGACCAATCCACCTATAACTTGATACATTTGTATATCAAAAGCAGCGACACGATACCTTGGTTTCTACAGTCTCATTTCAACGACTGGTATCCACTTCCGGTAGTGGATTCGAACCTTTGAAGTAAGGATCAACTCCTAACGTTGCGAGTCTAGAGCAGATGCTCTAATCACTGTGTCATGCGAGTGACTATAAAGGCGATAATGATAATTAAAACCAGAGTTTCATTCGATCAGATTAGATCTTGACATTCATTTTGAAATATCCATTTATGAAATGAATTAATAAAACATATAACAAATGCTTTTCATAAAACTTTCTTAGTGAACTGTATACATGTATATTAAATACATCCAACTCCTTGGGATACCTTACTTCAGAATTGCGTCTATATTCTTAAAATGAAAATGAAAATATATGAGAACTCTTAGAATTCCGAACATTTTTCTGCTTGGCAACTTTTCAGAAGTCATAAAACAATACAAAAAAGGAGCAGAGCAAATACGGATCTACAAAACATCAGAGACGGGATTAGGTGTCATGGAGGAGTGAGCATTCCCTGTCGACCTGTCACACCCACCGTGTGCTTCTTGTCATGATCGGGAAATTACGGGAAAAGCTGTCGTCTTTTCAGTGTATCAATAATGGACTGACAGTATGAAAAACATCGATCATCATTTGACCAATGATAAATTGTATTTGCTGACAGGTCATTGTATCGATCGTCGAACTAACGAAATGATAAGTTTAAACGAGACTGCTAAAATTCTAAGTTTCATCAACCTGTTTGTCAATAATTTATCTCGTTTTAGAGATTGTTCATATGTAAAGGATGCTTAGGATCAAATCACCTGCGAGAAATAAACTCCGTATGAAGGTGATGAAGGTACCGTATAGCAGGTTATTTTAGCGGGGTGCTAATTTTGGCTTATTTTGGCGTTTTGATGGAGGACCGCTAAAATTTTAATAGCTAAAATAGTAAGTTCTCTTCTTAATGTTCATCTGCAAAGAATTGAATCTCTGTGTCCGCTAAAATAAATTACGCCAAAATTAATGGCATACCTTTGAGCAGGTAAAACGCCAAATTTTACACCCGCCAAGAAAACCCGCTATACGGTATATAGCTGCATTAGTAAGGGAAATGACGATAGAAAAAAGTTAAAGATATCGAAGAGCTTGATTGTTATATTATCATTAACGTTTTTTTTTTCAGAAAAATATCCAAATATAAAAAAAAGATGTGCCAGAATGTGTGGTATCTTTTATCTCAAGCTCGCCAGGATATATCGTGGAATGGAAACGACCATTGTTAACTGACAATACGTCGTCAACAATTGAAAGGTCGAGCTGAAGTCCACAGCAAGTTTTTTTTCTTTTCACGTATACGATTTTGCACTAAATTCTGCTTCGTGTGAATAAAAAACAGGCCTGCTACAGGCCTGTAATTACGAAACAGCATTAAGCGATATTTGGAAGGTAGTTTATTGTAAGGAATTTAATTCTGAACATATTCTGTCAGAAATGCGTATTTAATTAAGCACTTCGATCTTAAACATGCCAACCATGTACATAATTAAAAACACGGAAGTTTTTATTCAATACATTTTCTATATGATTATTGAATAATTGCACGAAAGAGTTTTATTTTAATATAAGAATCAATTTCCTGTCTTTAATCTGTAAATAGAATTCTGTTAAATAATAAAATGCATTTTTCACTGTTAAAAACTCCTTGATCTGCCTTTCACAGCACGTGAAATTCGTCATTTTCAACCAAGACCCAAATGACCTCAGGACTGGTTTCCGTAAATCCATCTCTTGTTAATCGAATTCTGTGGGTCAAAGTGGAGGATAGGTTCGAAGTGTTAAGAGTTGGGAAATAATGAGACTTTTCGAATTTCATGTATGTAAGCTTAAGTGAATGTGTAAAGGAAGTTAAGCAAGTTAAGTCATATCAGATCATTTATACTACTTTGCGAATAGTATTCCACTTTCAGGTGCCCTTCTTTATGCAGTAATATTTGTTTCTCACTTGCATATGGTTTTCATATCTCCCAACTATTTCGATACTCAACAGCATTAGTTATAACGACCTTGTTAGCAAATATAAGCAATCAATTTGTATTTTATCCGCTTATCATTAACTTTAATTCTACTGATTATTTTAAGCATTCTTAACTTTTTTTGCTGCAAGATTTCATAAGGATGCCACATTTCACACGCGTAACAATCAACGAGGAGCTACGTTTAACAGTTCAGTTCTCTTGAACGAGTCCATGCATGGTCCGTTTCAAAACTATCGACTTTTTGCTTCCTTGCTGTCCAGAAATGGACAAGTAACTAACAATGAATACTTAGCATTTTTCAATACATTATCGTTAAATATAAGTTTTTTTGATTCTAGATTATCATACTGTGCAAGATTTATCTCTGTATACATGTATATAGAATCTGTTTATTCTCTCAATGGATAGGGCATGAAGCACTTGACAAAGATCTTAAGAGGTCTGGACACAGATACTAGAGTTAATGTTTTCTCATGTTTTCTGTATAATATCATGACTTATATATTGCTGTGCATTTCACTCGGAAATATGATGAAGCAAACTTATTTAACTTGAATTTATTCAAGCTGCGAATTTCGTAATGCGTTTGTTAATTTAAAATAAATTTTATCCCTAATACGTAATTGAAAAAAGTAGTTTTGTTCTGTATTTATAAAAAATATTAAAACTAATCCAGAAAATTCATTTTAGTCAATCAGACTGAAAGATTTATACGTACTCTGCAAAATTACAGACGAACGCAAGGCAAAAACCATACCATACTGTAGCTCTAGATATTTTATAATTCAGTTTATTATAAGTGAATTGTGAGTTTAAAAAAAACATTAATTACCTTTAAGGGAAAATGACTGAGGATTAATTTCAAATAAATCTGGATGGATTTCTAATCCAACTGTAGAAGTGGTGTTGAGTAGTTCTTCCATTGATGAATCCTTAGACATCAGTCGCCTCAACAGGGTAGTCTTACCCGCTCCTGCACACCCTACAATCATTGCATGAGCCCTGCGGATGGTTTCGGTTCCTTTTGTAGTCTCTTGGAAGTACATTTTGGCGGTTTCATTATTCCTTTCTATTTAAAACAAAAGTTGGTCTTAGGGTTGGTCTTTGAATTTAACACAAAGCCCTTAGGCCACATCGCTAACCTTACCACTCTGGATAGATTTGACACAACATACCTCCGGGGACTAAAACATAATAAACGCTACTTAATGTACAAAATAAGAGTGTGTATGCGTGTACGTGCATTCTTACGCATGGAACTCTTCTTTTATCCTGTATTTGAAAAATGAACGATGCTAGTATAAAATCCAACATGGACTGCAAAATGTTCTTAGTCACATGCTTTCATTATATATTTTTTCTTCAACACACTCACTGTCAGACGTGTCCGTTAATGTTTAAATTTAGACGACTATTGATTCTTTATATTCTCGAGAAGAATATTTTTGAAAACAGAACATATATATTCCCTGTAAAGTTTCAACCCTCATGTGGGCTTGCCCTATTCCCGGGGATATGATATTCATTATCAAACTTGAATATTAGATGAAATCAAGCTTTCGTATCAATTAAATCTCTTCATGCCCAGTGGTCCTTAAGGAAAAGTGTTTTAAATGATGCCACCAAATTTTCACAATATCCTGTCTTTAAAGATGGCATGTACTTTCCGTGAACAAAATCGTTAATCCCCTTTATCCAAATATGTTTTGTGGCATTTTAGATGAAATTAACCTATTAGTTCATGAACATGAGAAGAAATAAAAAGATTTAAGTTAGCTGGCGACACACGGACAACAGACACTCCTCGATCAGAGAAAGCTGACGTAAGACTTTAGCTCGGGTTAGCTATTAATTGAGAGAGTGACGGAGAGTTTTTTCAGCTAATGGTGGCGAAGTTTGAGTTCTCACTGATATGAAGATATTCATTATTTTTATTTATTTTACTTTTGAGAGTTTAAGTTAAATATGAGCATAAAGTATCAGAAACCGTTGATTGTCCGTTTTCATCAATAAGGAAGTAAAGGATTTGTGTTTTCTGAAAAATAATAACCAACCATACAAAACGTCACTCGCTATATCGCAAGATTCTTCATCTCTCCAGTCGTCACTCTTCACTGAGGTGCATTGTACCTGTTTGTCATGTTTGTCCTTTGAGACCTTTGAAAGCAAAGAAGTAAAATAATTTGAACCATCAAGCAATATATCATGCAAAACATTTTATGATATTACAAACCCTCTTTTCAGTTATAATTCATAATATGATTGACATCCGAAGAAAGAAATGATACCAAATTAAAATTATATTAAATCCTGAGATGGATGTACATGTACAATTTCCAGCAAATTCCCTAGACGTTGACTGATTATGAAAGAAGTTCACTTCATTGAGCACAAACCCCATGGGGATCCGGGTTAGAATAGGTCCTCAGTACCCCTTGCTTGCTTAAAAAGGCGACTAAATGGGGCGGTCCTTCGGATGAGACCGTATAAACCGAGGCCCCGTGTCACAGCAGGTGTGGCATGATAAAGATCCCTCCCTGCTCAATGGCCCTGAGTGCCGAGCATAGGTTTAAATTTGCAGCCCTTCACAGGCAATGGTGACGTCTCCATATCAGTGAAATATTCTGGAGAGGGACGTTAAACAGAAGACAATCAATCAATCAATCATTGAGCACAATTATTACGTTGTAAATCATTTCCTTTGTTACCCTTTCAACTCACTTTCACATATGCGGTGCTATATCATTTCCAACCAAGTTGCGAAGGGTTAATTTTGATAAGGTTTACTCAAAGATATTATTAATATGACAATCTATACTTACGTCGAGGACACGGTTTGGAGGCACGCCAAGATGATTTTTAAGTTGTTCCAAGTCCTGACAAATACTGCTTAGTTTTTCATCGATTGAATCACACGCATTGTCATTTAATTGACTTATATTATCTATCGCTTGAGTCACCTTAGCAAATACGTCTGTCCCACATGGGTGAGATATAGATTCAATAGTTGAACGAATGAAAGCAAATTCTCTCTGGAATATATCCTCTTCAATTTTGGTATTTGTCGAATGAAAAAGATTGTTTCTTTTTTCTCTCAGGTTTTTGATATCCTGCATCTCAGCAGGGAGCAGAGAGCACGTATTTAGTAGGATAGAACACAGAAGTGATACATCCAGATCTACTTCAGATACCTTGTCCTGTGATTCATACTGACATAAACATGGTCTTTGTTTACTACATGGTTTCAAATCATCCTTGAAAAGAATCTCCCATTGAGGTTTTTTCAGTATTGTATCTCTTCGTTGATAAGACTGAACACACTTACAACAATTTCTCTTTTCGTAGAGATGAAACAACACGTGCTTGTGGATTAATAAAAAGTCCTTAAATGTTGCTCCTGCCTTTTTAAGTTCATGTTTTAATCGACATAAGAGAGCAATTGTTCCAGTGTCCAGTATAAGGGAGACAATTTTCATAAATTTAACTTGTCTAGAAGAAAAGGCCATTCTTGTAAAACACAGATTCTCTGCAATTATAGGTATATGCAAAAATCATGTTGAAAGTCAAAGCATGAACAACTCTATATAGGACTTTTTTCAAGGATATCAAATGCATACTTTACTTCCTTCTAATACATGTATCAAGTTTCCCCATAACTATCAAAATCACAAATTATAGATTAAATTGAAGGTTTGAATATTTATTAAAAATGTTTTATTAAATTTGATAAAGTCCTTATATAGCGTATTTCTAGTAGGTTCTACTAATCAATTTAAAAGGATCTTTCTACATATATTTCCTTTACTTTAAATTTCGAGAGTCATTGATATTTCTGCAAATTACCTCATTTAAATCACTTGCATTTACGAGGTATCAAAATATTAAAACAATCATCAACAATATTTACCCACTCCACCAAAATAAACGAGATTCGAATTTCTTGATCGAATGTCGCTGTTTTTATAATTAGACAATCAACAAAAATGGCGAACATAGAGAAAGGGGCGTGGACTAGCATACAGGTTCAGAAACAAAGGTGAGGAAGAGAACAAAGAAATAAAATATTGTATATAGTACGATACAGTGATTTGGGTTAAATTTTAAATTACACTTACATAGCATTAATCAAGCCTTGTTCATTTTCGTATAGCATTTATAGAACTACCCACAACCAGGAAGGACAAAAGCCAGACGGATAGTGTATATAACTGCTCAATGGGAAAATTTGGTATTTATACTTCTTGTTTCGTTATAATACTTAAATATTTAAATATATGTATTTAGTACGGAAGCGTTAAGGTATCTTGTTGTGTTATAACTTTAAATATAGTCTTATATTTTATAGTTGTATCAACAAATTAAGTGTTATGATTCCTTATCAGTACACATATAATAATTTTGAATTGAATAAAGATGTTTCAATTTAATTTAAGGCAACTTATTTCAATTAATTGATTTTTTTATGTTTATCAAATCATAATATTGATCTGATCAATATAATAATCTCAGAATGTAAAAATGAATATATACTTTTTTATCGAAAAAAATATGAATAACTTAGGAAAAGAACTGAACATATCGTTATTGAATTAATTTCACAAGGCGGGGGGATAATTCTAATGAATTTCCCCTTTGCTCAAAATTCAGTGAAAGATTCTGTGTTAGCTATCTAAATCGATTTTGGACTAAATAGACCCACCACCTCCCCACAACGTTTTCAGGGAGCAGAGGCAAAATTATCTTTGTGCCCCTCCTACAGCTTTTTTAAATTACATATATTTATAGATATTTACAGTATATTACAGACCCGCTAATATATCTCAAAGATAAAAATTATCACATTTGTATGATGAAATTGCTCCTTGTTATATCTTTGTCATATATTTAATGACTGACGCCAACACTTCCTTTGAACTTTGTTAAGCTTTTGCAATTTTATTGCAACAAAACACATTTTTCATTATTCCAAGTTATAAGAACATATCTGCTTGATAGTTAAAATTTATATTCTATCAACTGCAAATATTTTTTAAGTATGGGGAGGTAGTGGGGCAATGCTGTTGAGATTTAACGTCTTTAACTAAAAAATGAATAGATTTATAAAAGACTGAGTTCAGTATATTGAATTGAGCTTAACTTAGCCTTTTCGGTTCCAAGTAGTAGGTTACTGCTTTGGCTAGTATTGAATGCTATGGAACGTAAAAAAATATCATCTTTAAGGTCAATTATCAACTTTATAAATAAATATTGTTTTAATTTTGTGTGTCATCATATTTTTAAGATAATAACATCGATGTTATATGCTAAACATGTATTCGAATTTCTTGAGAGAGAGAGAGGGATAGAGAGAGAGATGTCAACAATTACGCCGATCGATAGCCCCGCCCCCTATAAATATTGATTGTGTGACATAAAAACCACTCCGGGTACATGTCGAATTCCGGAAGGTGATACTCATGTATCGTTGATTCAATTTTAATACATGACAACATGGCATTATTTTTGCACAAATGTATATGAAGCTCTTTCCATTGCTCGTAATATATTTTGGATTCATTTCATTTACAGCTTTGTAGAGGAGTCGCAAAAAGATTCAAAATAGGGCGTTAAGTCCAACCATTCTTTGTCTACAGATTTCGAATTGTGATAATTTGGCGATGAAAATGAAGTATATTTTATTGAAAAAAAGTTTTAGACGTTTCTTTTTTTAATACTTGTTGTTAATTATTTACAGTAATATTAAAGACAGATTAACACTAAATAAAAGTGCGTAGAACGTGGTGCAAGGAACATAGAGATATCAACATTCAAATAGATATGTAAAGTAAGCTACTAGTGAGTGGCTACTAGCAGCTGGCTGGCTACGACAAGTGGGTAAAGTTGGCTACGAGAAGTAAATAACGTTGGCTACTAGAACTGGCTACTAGTAACTGGCTACGACAAGTAAGTAAAGTAGCCTATTAGTAACAGGCTACTAGAAAATGACTTCAACCTTCAACTACCTTTTGTGTAAAATTATGCAAACCTGGGATACAAATGTTGATATTCTTGAATTCGAAGTAAC